GGTTGCTGTTTCAAAGGCTGCTCCCGCGCGGTTAAATCAAACTCCCCGGAGGAAGCTGACCCTGTAAGTCCCAGAGCGAGACGGGGAGGAAGGGAGGCGAGAAGGGCACGATGTGGTGAAAGATGGCACCCAGCGTCCCCTTCCCTGTCTCTGCCCGGATTTGTTAACAGCCAATGGAGCGCCGGAAGCTGTTCTATTCGTTGTTTACTCTAGTTTCATTGCTAGGTAGAAATGAAAACCTGGATCCAAGTGACAGGAAAACAAATGAGAGGACTCACACAAAGCTCTCTGAGCACCTGAGAAGTAAAGAAGTAAGAGTGAGGTTTGGGGGCCTGCTCTGTCCTGCCGTGCAGCCTTGCTGGCTGTTGCAGGAATAGAAAACATAATGTCTGCCTGCAGGTTACTTTCCGATGACTTATTGTAGATATAAAGCAGCGAGTTCTTCCCATTCGTTCATGCATGCGTGCATGCCACAAATATCTATGGAATGCTTTTACTATGCCAGGCACAATTATAAGTATTGGTATACACCAGTGGGATAAAAAAAGTAGATTAAAAATCGTGCCTTCCCAGAGCTTACATTCTAGTTATAGGACACAGATATTAATGGTAAGGTGTGTTACAAAGTGAGGAGTGCATGGAAAAGTGACACAGGGTAAGCTAGGTGACCAGAAGGGCTGGGCTGGGGGAGGGCATTTGCAGTCTAAAATAGGACGGTCCACACAGGCTGGGTTTATTGCAGTCATAAGTGAGTGCTGCCTCAGGACAGTTGAGGAGGGCCTGGTGTGGAAACTTCCAGGCACAGGAAACAGCCTATGCAAAGCCTCTGTGGCCTGAGCGGGACTGGGATGGGCTGGGGCAGGGGTGGGGAGGAGAATCAGAACCAGGCAGCAGGGAGAGCTGTGCCCCGGAAGCCTGTTAGGACTCAGGATTTCAACACCCTCCTGAGCTGGGCCTGTCCACAACAGCCATGAACTGCATCCTGGGAAAGGCTGCCCTCAACCAGGACCTGAGAATCAAAACACTTTGCCCTTTCCAGAACCACAGCCTCCGAAACTATTTTTGAAACTCATTTTTGTTTATGACTATAAGCAGTAAAATTGGTTACAAACCAGTGACTCTTGCCCTTCTCTTTCCTGCAAGTAGATGGGTTTTCTGGGATGATGGAATCTTAATAATACAGAGTTTAGCCCCAACACTGGAAGAAAGCAAACCATACATTATCCCTACAAGTGAAGCTCTCAAAACCCTTAAAGTTTTTCGTATTTCCCTTCCAAAGACTGTCAGACTAGATGCTCTTTGGGGGTTTTCAGGAGGTTCTAATTATCTTTAGATGAGGCCTCAGGCTGGAGAAGACAGACAGGAGGGAAGAAAATAATAGTACTGAGTGAAATGATTCTAGTCTGGTCCGTGAAGCTGTCCTCTGAGATTTGAGGTTGAACAGAAATTGGTGAAATAATATAGACACCAATTTCTTCATAACTGGCATCTGATCACCCATGCACTCCCAGGAGGCAAGGTTTATCCTCACTTGGAATAACTAGTGGCTAGGAAATAGGGCAAGGGTTGTCTCTGTGAATCTGTTCTCCATCCATGGAGCTGATCTCCATCCAGTGGTCACTGCAGTGTCTCCAGCAATTTTTTTCCCTGCAAATCAGTGCCCGTGTCTTCAGCTGTAAGGCACAAGACCTCCCAGAATCCCTTAGAAGAGGCAGGTGGCGGAGAACTTAGCATCAAGAATCACCAGGGTGTGAAAGTCCAGCATGGTAGGCAGACTCTCCCCACAGCTAGAATTCTGCTAGAATATCTTTATTGTCAGCTAGAATAGAACTTTGAGAGAAGGGAGTAGCCCCCTTTTTGAATTGGGAGCACACCCACAGCACCCCGGCTCCCCGGCCAGGGAGCAGAACTCACAGTCTTGTCCCCTAGGTCACACTTCATACTGGGATCCCGGTCCCCGACTTCTACTCCAGCAGAGCATCAATAGCCTAAGGATGTTCTGTGGGGGCTCCAGCTGCCGGTTTCCTTGGACTGAGAGGGCGAGAGGAGGGAGCTCCAACCTGACGGGAGGTAGAGTCGGCAGGAGGAGCGAGAGGAGAGAACAGCTGGTCCTCGGCAGACTTCACACCCACAGCCCAGCCCGTTCCCTCCGGCCTCTCCACGCTGTCACGCCTCTGTTCACTTCCCCATCCATCGACTCTCACCAAGCAAGGACCTACACAGCCACATCACTTCCTTCCCACCCTCAGATTATGGTTTTATTTCACTTAATCTTTTTTGTTACGTGAGTTCATTCCTTTTCTGATCATGTTATTGGTGACTTACTGAACTGGCACTGCCAAGAATAAATTCTCCTGAGGTTTTCCTTAAGCTTTCCATCAAAGAGGTTGTAGGGGTAGGTAGGGGAAAAGGAGCTGAATTTGGAGCTTATAGATTCTCTTCTAGAAGGAATTGCCCTAGTACCTCTCACGCACTGTTAGCTCTGCAGAGCTGATCTTTGGGAGGTGAGCACAGTGACTCTAGAATTGACAGGTTTTACTCCCTATTGAAGCACAAATTATCAGCCACACGGGTTCTCAGCAGGGTAGGAGCCTTGAGAGGACCCCGTCAGTAAGTCAGGCCAGAATCCCTGGCCATTGTGTGAACTTGGAAAGACTCTACAGAAAGCCAAACCAGGAGATTTGATATTTGATTCATTTATTTAGTACAAATTTTTAACGGAGAACAATTAAAACGGGCACTATTCCAGATACAAGGACACTGTTCTAGACACTGTGGAAACATTAGGTAAACAGATGAGCATAGTCTCTGTCCTCCTGCAGCTTACAGCCCAGTAGGAGAACCAAGCAGAAATTAAACAATTACAGATAGTTATGAGGACCAGAAAAGAATTATGGAGGTCATACAGGCTCTTTGGCAACATCTTTGACATTTCCTAGAAGGACGCTAAAACGCACACATTCCGGCCATCGCACTGGAAATATACCAACTCATTGCCTTCTCAACTGCATTATTTTAATTATGGTCCTTACTGCCACTCGTCACAGAGCCCTTCTTTGGGAGAAACACGATCAGCATTCCTACTCATTAATGCAGCAGTGTACTAAGCCTTAAACATGGGTGGTTTAAAAAATGGTGACCCAAGGGCAGAGGACTCCTCAGTAATGGGAATCTGCAGTTGCAGCCCACAGTATATTCACACCCTCAGGACAAGCATGCTGCTCCGTGTGTCCTGTCTGTACCTGTTACAAATGAAAATCCGTCCTCTCTGCTGTCATTCACAGCCTGACTTTCCAGAGCAATTCTAAGAATGCTGGAAAACCGAAAGCCCTATGTCATTACTAGGTCTGAAAGAATAGTGCTTATTATTACTGAGTAATGCTTATTACTTAGAAACTTACCCTTCTCATTCTTCAGTCTCACATGAAGTTTTAGAAATTGTAGGATCTGAGCAGGGGAAAGTTCTAATTAGCTGTCTAAATATACTCTAGTGAACCAAGAAATTCCCCCATTTAAAAAAAAAAAATAAAGAAAACAAGAATAGCAAAGACACGGGAAGAGGTCGAATGGGAAAGCTAACAAAGTTTTAGCAAAAATGATAAATGTAAATAGCTAATTATTTACTTCTGTGCTTCCTTTATTTCAATTATTTCTGTCAGTTGTGACTTTTTTTTTAGCTAGAACCTAATTTATTGGATGGGTGCTATCCTGTTTATGTCCATCTCGGTCTCCCGTGGCTACAGAAACACTCTGTTGCTGGACAACACTAGTTTGATATTTGATTATGCTCCAATGAGACTCGATGGCTGGGCCGCTGTAGACTCATAGTTATTCTCATTCTCTAGAAAAGTTATCCTGCTAATTAGATTTCTAGTGACTTGTAACACGTAGTTTACACTGAATCGCAATTATAGATGTATACAGCTACTGTACTAGAAAAAAAAGGGTCATTTTCAGTGTGCCAATAAATGATTTTTATGAGAGAACAAAACGTCTCCATAGAATTTCTTAGTCTTTACCTATTTGGGGGAGACAATTATCCTTTGTCAGAGCAATACTTCTTCAGCAAAGTATGATGGGAAAGATCCCAGAGCTCTTGAAAGTTTACACTGTTCAAGGCACTTCCTCGAGAGCATAGCACTGCCCCCAGTTTTACAAAAACTCCTGAGCCTGAATCTGATGTGACTATCCACGGTCTGAGTGCTCCGGGGGTCTATATCCAAGAGCTGGAAATTCTGACCAGCCTTCCTCCACAAAAGCCTCAAACCTGTGCTGCAAAACAGTATGTATATACTGACTTTGCCAAACCTGGCTCCTGGAACATTTCTTTGAATAGCTAAACGTCACTCATCTCCTTCACATTATTATTAGCCTTATTCAGTGGACTGTCTCTGTTTTTTATTAAAAGAAAAACATTACTTAAAAGTAGATGATCTGGGTTGTAATCTCAAGTGGATCATGGCACAATGGCAGTAGCTGATTCAAAAAGAAAGTTTAATCCCAACATACACAGAGTAAACATTCTCATTCCAAAGAAGAATAATAGGAGAATAATAGAGACCAATGGGTCCAAAACAAGACCAAAACACAACAGGGAAAACATTAAATTCTGTAGCTCCATGTTCAGTACCCAGGGCAAAGATGTGAGCTCCAAAGAACTTGGGTGGCCCCACCCTTATGGCATTGCTAAGTGCAATACATATGGCCTCTCTCTTAGGCTGGATCCACTCAGTGAACACAGCCTTCTTCAGACATTTTGTGCTCCTGGATTCTCCAACTTCCTGTGGTTTCCACTGCACTTTTGCCTTTACTGTCACAGCTTCATGCACTGCTCTCCCCAGGACACACTGCCTCGCACTGCCGGCCTTCTTCTGAAATCTGCATGGAAGCCTCTCTGACCCCCACAACTCTTGCATTTTGCATGCCCATAAAACCAGCACCATGTAAATGATACCAGGGTGTGCTGCTGGAGAGGGCTCCAAGTGTCTGGATGGCTAAACTCTGGGAAACTCTTTTCTAGTTCGCCCTCAGTGAGCTGGCTCACTGGGGCTCTCTTTTCAAATGAAAGCTTTAGAGCTTTACTCCCATGATTCTGTGAAGGGAGAAGTCTCGCTGGTTCCTATAATGGCAAGGCATATGTTTCTATTGTCCTGATGCAAAATATTTGGCTACTTTGTAATGCCAATCTTTTCATCAACCAAAGTCTCCTCTGTTACAGCTTTACTGGGCCTTCCTTTCTGAAGAAACTGAAAATTTTTCAAATGAGCTTTTGCTCCAGATTTTTACTCAAAACCTGGCACTCTAAACCTTTCACTCTAAAAGCAGCAGGCAGTACCCATTCCAGAGCCTAAACATTGGGCTGCCTTTAAATTTTCTCCTCCAGATTACTTGTTCTACCACTTTTATTCAGTCTCCTACACAGTCTTAGGATGAGCAAAATGTAGCAAGTTTTCTACCAGAGCATAACACACATGGTCTGGAATCCAAATGCCAAGAGTACTTATTCCCAAATGAAACTCTTAAATCCAGTTTTTACCATTTTCCTTCCTATCAACATTCTGGTCTTCTGAGCTCCAACCAGAATCTCTCTTCAAATTCAACTTGCAGCATTCTAGGACTTCTCTAGCAGGCATCTCCAAACCTTTCCAAACTCCTCCCACAAACCAGTTCCAAAGGCTTCTAAACTCTGTGACCAGGTAGCATCATGGCAATGAGCATCCTTCTCTGGAACCAAAATCCATATTAGTCACTTTCTTTATCACTAATGTTCAATACCAACAAATTAAAAGAGGAGAGGTTTATTTATTTATTTTTTGTTTTTTTCCGTTACTGGGAATCAAACTCACGACCTCTTGCTTGCCAGGCAGGTGCTGTGCCACTGAGCTAAATCCCCAGCCCCTAGGAGGAGAGGTTCATTTGGGCTCATGTTTCTGTTCATGTTCAATAGGCTCCAATACAGAAACTCATGGTGGAAGGTTCGAGGAAAGCTGCTGAATTCATGGTGGCCAGGAATCAGAGAGAGGAAGGGAGGAGAGAGAAGGGAGGAGCCAGGGAGTGAGATATGCCCTTCCTTGTAACACTCCCAGTGATCTTCTCTCTGAGATCAAGTTATTTATAGTGCTCCATGGCTCAGTCCTCTCTCGGAAGCCCACTATGAGCACACAGGCTCCTGGGAGACATCTAGATATAAACCATAACCTTAAGGAAATCAACTTGATGGGAGAAAGCTTCACAAGTGTATAAATCCGTGGTTTTCACATCTGGCTAAAATTCTTTCATAGAGACAATATGTTCAGTATATAATTATATGCAGTGAAGGATATATTCCAAGATGCCTAGTGGGTGTTTGAAATGGCAGATAATGCCAAACTCTATAACTTTCTTTTCTGGCTTAACTAAGCACTTATCACACACCATGTCATAACTTTTTCAGTCTGAAGGGCAGCAACAAAACTAGTACAAATTTCTTCTTTGCAATGTCACAAATTGCAGATTCATTCCTACCTTAAATCTTACTAATCTAGCATGTTTATTTTTCTGTATTAAGTGGAGGATTTTTACCTTTTCACCTAAAGAAAGCACACTAGGGATTCTCTTTGGTATGTCTGAATTACCAACAACACTACTCATGCACTTTGGGGCCAATATTAAGTAAAATAAGGGACACCTGAGCACAAGCACTACTATACCTCAAGTCAGTGGATCTGACAATCAGCAGCTAAGTGCCTAATGAGTATGTAGCTTATACAGTGTGGATACACTGGACAAAGGGATGATTCACAACCCGGGCAGGAAGGAACAGGATGACACAAGATTTCTTTGTATTATTGAAAAGGGCGTGCAATTTGAAGCTTATTAATTGCTTTTTTGTGGAATTTTCCACTTTACATAGTTGGGCTATGGTTGACTGCAAGTATCTAAACACACAGAGAGCAAAAGTGTGGTAAGAGAGGACTGCCATATGCTCTGCACAGAAAAAAAAGCATATGGAGAAATAAAGCATATTATGTTGCTTTTTGTAGTAAAAGACTTATTAAATATAAACATCAATTCCTAAGTAGCCTCTGTGCTCTGCTCTACCACATGATCCTGAAGATTGTGAAGTACTAGATGTGACTGAAAAATATAGTGAATGTTTAAATTTTTAAATATTTATTATAGTAAAAGACATATTGCCATTAATCACCCTCAAAATACTACCCCTTCCTTCAAGCACACTGAGACCACCCTTTTTGCCACTTTCTGAAGCAGTTCTGGAAGTCCTCTTATGTGTGCCATTAGTTGTGCTGTCATGATGCCTAAATCAATTCAAAATGTTTACCTCTCATGGTCATTTTGATTTTGGAGAAAAACCAAAAGCCACACAGTGCCAGATCTAGTGCATGAAGTGGAAGAGGACACACTGTAAAGTTTTTAGGAGCCTGCCTTTCCACTGAATGGCACTCGGCAGCAGCATTCACCATTTTTGAACATGCTGCTGCTGTACTTTTGAATGCACATTATAATGGCATGAAAGAAGACTCCCAGAACTGCTTCAGAGAATGGCAAGAGTGGTAGGATCAGTGTGTTTGAAGGGAGAGAGAGTATTTTAAGGAGTAATGTCAGTGTGTCTTTTACTGTAACAATTTTTTATTTAAACATTCACTGTATATTTTGATCACACCTAGCACTATATAGTGACAGAGCACAGAATCCAGCAGTGACAGCACCCTGGCTCAAGTCTTGCCAACTGTGCATCCAAAATAACAAAAACTGACCCACAGTTGCCACATTTCTAAAGTGGAGATGATAAAAAGATTATTTTGAGGGTAAAACACTCAAAACAGTGCCTGGCAAATAACAAGTACTACCAAGCATGAGGTAGCATTAGCCTTTGAGCAATCTGTACATGATTAACAAATTTTAACTTAACCTTACCACCTTACCATCTTACCATCTCACTCTCTTACACAGTTTTGCTTTCTGTGCTTTTAGATACTTTCAGTCAATCACAATCCAAAAATATAAAGTGGAATTCCCAGAATAAGCAATCAATAAATTTTTCAGAGGCAGTGCTTTTCCTTGAAGGAACTTCATAAAATATGAAGAAATTTATTAAAGAAGAAATTTATTAAATTTCTTCTACACAAACTAATGGAGGAACGTAGCAAAGAAACTGAGAAAAAGCAGTGACTCATATGACACATGAAAAGCAATTTTAAGACAGCAATAATCACAGTGGCATGGGACTACTAAGATCAGCTACAGGACAATTCACAAAGAGAATTTTGTACATCTTGAACAGAAAAATCCCGAAGAAGATATGAAGGCTATTTTGAAATGCTGAAACTATTATTCAAAAACTGGTTCACTGGCAAGCAAAACCTATTATTAACTACATCACATTCTACACATTAAGGTGTTAAACATAAAATGCAGGTATTTACCTGATGTTTGGCAAGGAGGTTTGAGTCACTACCTAATATTTTATGTGAGGGCTTCTCGGCTTTCTAAAATTGCTCTCTAACTTCTGTTTTGCATTTTAAACCCCCCTTTTTATCCTTGCTCATAAATCATAACTATCTGTCTTCTTTAATGAACTGCACCCATCTTTATTCTATCGAAGCCCACTTCTAGCACCGAAGAGTTCCTGGATTTATTGATTTATTCTATGCCACTACTTAACAAACTACTTTTAAGGAAAAATGAAGGTATTAAATATGTACAACTCTCCATTCTGTTTCTAGACTGTTTCAACCTTAGCTAATGAGTTTATAATGAGCGAGTCCACAGCAAAAGAGGGTCCTGATTGTACCTGCTGTCATGCTGATTTGCACACTCATTTTCCTACTTGCCTGGTGGGTAGTGTGGCTGTCAGATGCTCAGTTTATCTAGGTGTGGTGGTGTACCCGATGTGTCAGCAGGAAGATGGCAAATATCTTCATCAGAGAGAAATCATTCGGCTTTTAACACTTCTAAGGTCCAGCTGAAACTCTACGCCACA